CCACTAAAGCATGAAGTCATCTCAACTTATATGTAAAAGAAATGACTTTGGGGAGATCTGTTACAAACTTGAATGCTACCTTTGATGGGAATTTTCTGTAAAGCAAAGCAAAAAGAGGTTTTAGTAAATTACTCCATACAATCTTGGAAGTAAGTTTTAGGGGTATAAGTGACCATTTATAATTTGTAAAAGCTCTTACCTTGGCTGCGTTGATTAAAAATAAAAGTACCTTAAACATTACGTCTATTTTTTGGACAGAGGGGAGTATTTCATTGAATTCCCTTGGGTGGATTCATATTTAATGATAACATAATTTTTTTAGGATCCTCCAGAAGATGCTGTGGTGTCCATCTGTGGGCATGTTTTTTGCAATCAATGCATTTGTGAACACCTAACCGGAGATGCCACCCACTGTCCTGCACCAAACTGCAAAGCACATCTGAATGTTTCTTCAATATTCTCCAAATCAATATTAATTCGCTCTTTATCGAACCAGCCCCATGTAGTCACTAATAACTCCAATGGTCCCAAACCATGTGAAACATCTGATATTTTTTCTGTGGGACGCTCATATGATTCATCTAAAATCAAGGCTGCGCTTGGGATGCTTCAATCTCTGCCTAAACTTAGAATCGGAGAAGTAGGTGGAGAGAAAGCACTTGTGTTTTCACAATGGACAGGGATGCTGGATTTGCTTGAAGCTTGTCTTAAAAAATCCTCTATTCAGTACAGGAGACTAGACGGAACAATGTCCATCGTTGCCAGAGACAAAGCTGTGAAAGACTTCAATACAATTCCAGAGGTTTGTTGTAATTTGATTAAATTAGTCTATTGAGATGACCCCCCCCCAGTGTACTCTAATTAAGCTCGTAAATATTTGTCTATGGTAGGTGTCTGTTTTGATAATGTCTTTAAAAGCGGCTAGTTTGGGACTGAACTTGGTTTCAGCCTGTCATGTCTTGCTACTGGACCTATGGTGGAACCCGACTACAGAGGATCAAGCAATTGACCGAGCACATCGCATTGGGCAGACTCAACCAGTCACCGTGTTGCGTTTGACTGTAAAAGATACAGTTGAAGATCGTATTTTGGCTCTTCAGGTATCAGTGCATTTTGTTTCTCTCTCTCCGTCCCAATAGAAAAGATTCATGTTTGACCAAGATACTACCTTTTACATTTGGCAAGGTAGAACTGTTGTAAATCATACATCATGCCTGCACTTTAAAAATACTTTTGATATTTCAACTAAATATATTATATTAAACATGTTTGCTACTCGGTTTTGGAAAATTAGTTGACAATTTATTTTCATTTGTTCAAATAGCGGTCTTTTTGGAACGATAAAAACTTTTGAAACCCAATTATTTCTATGGGACAATTTTTCCCCGTGTTTTTAATGTAATAAACTACAGTAAACTGTTTAATGGCCGTTACATACCAGTCCGTGTGGATCTCATAAGATGCAAAATCACAGGAAAAGAAGAGAGAAATGGTTGCTTCAGCATTCGGAGAGGATGACAATGGTGGGCGACAGACGCGTCTAACAACAGAGGACTTGGAATACCTCTTCAGGATTTAACTCTGAGGGGGATCTTTGCTTGACGCTCTTTCGGTGCAGTATGGCTTTTCTCTATTCACATTCTTTCTTGACTGACTAACCAGTTCTAGAAGATTTACTCTTTTTTTTCATTTCTTTTTTTCAAGGACGGGGGTTGTTAGTCTAACAGTTCATCAACTTGTATATGATGAATTTGTTTTAGGCATCACTAGTCGAAGCCAGATCATATACGGAACACCAACTGTTGGTTTGGGGGTATATAGAGGTGGTTTTAGATGATAGCAATGGTTCTCCATTTTTTCCCCGTATAGCGCAGTGTAACTACATATATTCATTTACCATTACATGCTTAACAATCAAGATCTGATTTCATCCTGGGTGAATTCTCTTTACTCTAACTTTAACTGAAATTTTTAGTCTGAAACCTGAAAATAGTAACATACCCAGTAAGTTTTTGCATATTGCCACTGTTTTAACATAAACTAAAGCTTGGACTTACGATGTTGGAATATGAAGCTTCATATGGGTGTTTTCTCTAAAACATGAAATGCTGGCCACCCATGGTGCCTCTTAAACTCAAAGATGAAATGGCTTCTTACACCCATGAGCTTTCAACTTTTCGCAATGGGAACGTGCTATCTTTATGCTCAAGAATATTTGGCATTAGGAAGTTAGGAACCCTGCAATAGTATAAAAAAAAGGAACTCTATCCCCGAGGAAAACCCTAGACCCGGTCGGACGGTCACTGAAAAGAGGTAAGTTGAGCTTTGATCGCAAATTAGTGACAAAGAGTAGAGCTTGCACTTGGTACTTGCAAAGGTTCTATGCTTAGTATAGTTGTTTTTTAACGCTGTTTTTGTCAATTGTGCAACGCCCACACTATAATCCCATGCAATATATCCTTTTCAAAAGTGGACGCCAATGTTGTGTCGCAATTTGGAGTTCACTTCTTTTGGCATCTTCGTGATCTGGACTGTCGTCCATGTTTTCATGTTGGACAATGCTGTTGGTCCAAAATGGCCAAATGGGTGCCTATATTACCTTTATTTATGCTCACAAAACAAAATTTAGCATATATATGTCTGTAAATTTATGTGGGATGTGAGAGGTTTTTGCTCTAATATTTATTCAATTTGATAAATGTGCATTGTTATTCTTTTTCTTTTTAAAATTTACTTCGTTCCCCCTCTCTTTATTTCGAAAGCCTTGTTTTGAAACTTTTGATTTTGTCTCTATTTTGTTGTTTGCTGGTCTTCTCGTGTTTAAGTCCATGCTATTACTAAATCCGCAATTACAATATCATCTTTTTACCTTTAAATTAAAAGAACCATTTTGCTCCCAAATATGGAGTATTTTATTTTCTCTCTCTCACTAACTCACTCTCTTTCTCCCTCTCTCTCTCTCTCTCTCCAAAATATTGTTCTTTTATTTTTTTATATAAATTTTGGTGATAATTACAAGCAATATTTTTGCTTCCTTTGTCACAAAAAATGTTCTCCACTCTTCTTTTTTGATGTCTCAAAAAATACTTTTCATTTTGTTGTATTTTTTAGTAATGAACATGTAGCCTATAGGATACAACAATAACAACAACAACAACCCAGTAGAATCTCACAAAAGCAGGGTCTAGGGAGGGTGTACGCATACCTTACCCCCACTAAAAGTAGAGAGGTTGTTTCCAAGATACTTCCAACTCAAACAGTACAAAATTCAAGGAGCACGACAAGAAGATAGAGTACACATAGGGATAAGGTACCTAGCCAAGAGGAAGAAGAAATACGTCAAGCCAACACAACACACAACATCACGAACAAAACTAGCACCCTAGACTAAACGACTATCCTTGGTGATGGTGTAAATTACTTGACCGGTCAAACTATACTAGACCGGGTCTAGAATAGTTGGCACGATTCAGTAAAGTAAAGAAAGTAAAAACACTCAGAATGACCGGTAGGACTTTAGGTGGAACACCTGTAGCCCGAATTATATTAAAACAGAGAATACACGGTCACTTTTACAAGGGAGTTTAGAGAGAGTGAATTCGGATCCCTTCCTCGAGGGATACAAGAGGTATATATACTATGCTAGGGGGGCAGGACCACGTGCGCCCACGTGGGGGCATGCTGCTGGCGTGGTGTGAGGTGACTGGCTTTGAGCTGCCCTGTCACCTCGTGAGAGGGATTATTCCCTTTGTCGTGATCTGGCTTGGAAAAATGCTTTCAGCATCTCTGCAACGCCAACCATTACAGTCCAAGCCTCCTCTGGATCCTCCCTGCCGACACTTTCCAATCTCTAAAAATTGCACCGGTTGGTTCTTGTAGGTTGGAGTTGCTGACTTTAATAGATGAATTAGGTGTCGGCATAGTTTGACCGGTATACTATCCGAAGTATACCGGTCACATTTTTAGTCAACCAGTCATCCCTCTGCTGACGATTCAAATCTTTCTCTCAAGTTTGACCAAAGTTTGACCGGTCAACTCTCCGGTTCTATCTTTTGACCAGTCATGGGTGAAATACACCCATCACTTGGTAAGAGCCAAAGCTCCTAAGTCCTGCATAACCACCTCCTTCTAATTCTTCCTAGGTCTACCCATACCCTGCACCCTCCAACTATTGAAAGCATCTCGCATCTCCGCACCGGAGCCTTAGGTGCACGCCTTCTCATAGGACCAAACCATCTCAATTTAACCTCTCGAAACTTCTTTTCCACCGAAAAAAGTCAAAACTAGACAAATATTAAAAAACGGAGATAGAATAAATTTTATTTGTAATCTACTTCAATTCTCATATAGAGAATTAATTAAAATAAAAATAAATTTAATCAAACATTATGAATTAAAATAGACAATTTAAAATAGGAAGGTGGAAATAATATACAAACATTTTCAAAATAAAAAAAGCAAAACAATTCCTATCAACTATGGTTGTGGCTCAACGTTTGGATTGGGTACGGCCGTACGGGGTAGTGTGTGTGCGCGCCGAATTCAAAGATTCGAACTTATCCATTCGCAAGAAAAAAAAGCTGACGAGGCAATGCGTCAAATCTCCTGATTTCTCTCTCCTTTACCTCC